GATTATGACCTGCGCTGAAACCAAGAGTTGGCTGCTTGTATGACTGAGGCACCCAGGCACCCCTCCATAGGTTAAATTCTTAAAAGGGAAATTTCAGGTCACAGGCTTTATAAAGTTCCACATACTTCTTATCCCCAGATACAGAGCTCATCTCCAGAAAAGTTATATAATGATAGTCTCACATCATCAACATGTATATTTCCGCACATCCCTACCTAAGCTGGGTGTTAATTTTGTGATTTTCTGTTACCTTTTTCTCAATCCAGCTTCACTTGGGCAATTTACTTCTGCTTTCTGCACTCATGTAGAGCTGAGCAGATTATTCACCAAGATTCATGCATTCAGGTAGTTTGAAATTTTACCTCTAGATAAGTGAATATAAAAATCACCCATAATCCTCCTGATCAGAGATAACTACTGTAGACATTTTTTACACAGTATCGGTTCTCTAGATTTGAATGTAAGAAGGTGGTTGGGGTTTTTTTTGTTTTTTGTTTTGTTTTGTTTTAAGTCCCATTCCTTTGTTATTTTGTATACAATTCTTGGAGAACTCTTTTACTCAATTCAGTCTTTACTCTTCCTAGGTGTCCATTCCATTTTGCCATCTAGTTTCTTTCTGTAACTATACTTTTTTTTTTTTTCAGGAGTTCTAATTAATTCTTTTTCTTGTTTTCAGGATGTAATATTTATGTCCCTGAAGATACTCTGATTTTTTTTTTTTTTACATATAATTCACATATAATCTTGTTAGTTTCAGGTGTATAACACAATTATACAAAATTTGTATGTATTATAATATGAATACCACAATAAATCTGGTTAACATCCATCACTACACATAATTATAATTATTTTCCTTGTTATGAGAACCTTTGTGATCTGTCTTAGCAAGTTTCATATATACAATATGGTATTATTCTTTTTTTTTAATGTTTATTTTTGAGAGACAGAGACAGAGCATAAGTGGGGTAGGGGCAGAGAGGGAGACACAGAATCTGAAGCAGGCTCCAGGCTCCGAGCTGTCAGCACAGAGCCTGATGCGGGGCTTGAACCCACAAACCGCGAGATCATGACCTGAGCCAAAGTCGGAGGCTTAACCAACTGAACCACCCAGGCGCCCCTACAATATGGTATTATTAACTATAGTGACCATGCTGTGCATGCCACCCCCATGACTTATTTATTTTATAATTGATGTGTGTACCTTTTGACCACCATCGCCCATTTTGCTCACTCCCTATCCCTCACCTCTGGCAACCATCAGTCTGTTTTCTTCATCTGTAAATTTCGTTTTCTGTTGTTTTAGATTCCACACATAAGTGAGATCATATGGTATTTGTCTTTCTCTATTTGACTTATTCCATGTAGCATAATGCCTTCAAGGTCTATCCATGTTGTTACAGATGGTAAGACTTGCTTTTTTATGGCTAAGTAATATTCCATTGTATATATACACCACATTACTTTTTAACCATTCATCATCGGTGGACACTTCAGTTGTTTCCATGTCTTGGATTTTGTAAATAATGTTGCAGTGAACAATGGAGATACATCTGTCTTTTGAAGTTAGTGTTTTGGTGTGGGTTTTTTTTTTTTCCAGATAAATGCCCAGAAGTGGAATTGTTGAATCATATGGTAGTCCTAATTTTAAGTTTATGAGGAAAGTGTACCACTTGAGGAAAGTGGCTATATATATTTACATCTCCACCAATATTGTACAATGGTTCTCTTTTCTCTACATCCTCACCAACACTTGTTATTTTTTGTCATTTTGATCATAGGCATTCTAAAAGGTGTGGTGTGATATCTCACTGTGGTTTTGATTTGCATTTCCCTGATGATTAGTGATGTTGATATATACCTGTTGGCCATCTTGTATATCTTTTTTGGAAATATATCTGTTCAGATCCTCTGCCCATTTTTTATTCAATGTTTTTAAAGTTTATTTGAGAGAGAGTGAGAGAGTGGGGGAGGGGTAGAGACAGAGGGAGAGAGAGAGAATCCCAAGCAAGCTCCACACCAGCGAGGAGCCGAATGTGGGGCTTGAACTCCCAGACCACGAGATCATGACCTGAAGTGAAGTCTGACACTTAAGTGACTGAGCCACCCAGCTGCCCCCATCTGCCCATTTTTTAATTGGATTGTTGGGTTTTTGCTGTCAAGTTGTATAAATTCTTTATATGATTTACAGATATCTTCTCCCATTCAGGATGTTGCCTTTTTATTTTGTTGATGGTTTACCTTTTAGTGCAGAAGACTTGTTTGTTTGTTTGTTTGTTTGGTGCAGAAGCTTTTTAGTTTGATGTTTTCCTACTTAAATGTTTAGTTTTGCCTTTGCTTTTGGTGTCAGCTCTAAAAAACCATCACCAGTATTTATGTCAAGAAGCTTACCACCTCTGTTTTCTTCTAGGTGTTTTGTAGTTTTAGATCAAGTCTTTAACCCATTTTGAGTTAATTTTTGTGCATGGTGTAAGATAGTGATCCATTTTCATTCTTTTGCATGTGGCTGTCCAATTTTCCCAATACCATTTATTGAAAAGACTGCCCGTATATTCTTGGCTCCTTTGTCATAAATTGGCCATGTGTGCTTGGGTTTACTCATGGGCTCTCTATTCAGTTCCATTGATCTATGTGTCTGTTTTTATCCAGTATCATAGTGTTTTGATTAGCATAGCTTTGTAAGATGGTTTGAAATCAGGGAGTATGATGCCTTCAACTTTGCTCTTTTTTTCTCAAGATTGCTTTGTCTGTTTAGAGCCTTTTGTGGTTCTATACATATTTTAGGATTGTTCTATTTCTGTGAAAAATGCTGTTGGAATTTTGATAGAGATTACACTGAATCTATAGATTGCTTTGGGTAGTATGAACATTTTAACAGCATTAATTGAACACTGTCTTTCCATTTATTTGTCTCTTATTCAATTTCTTTTATTACTGTCTTAGAGTTTTCAGTGTATAGGTCTTGTACCTCCTTGGCTAAATTAATTCCTAGGTATTTTATTCTTTTTGATACAATTATAAATGGGATTGTTTTCTTTATTTCTCTTTCTGATAATTTGTTATTACTATATAGAAATGCAACACATTTCTAATATATTGATTTTGTATCTTGTAACTATACTGAATTTGTTTATTCTAATGGTTTTTTAGTAGATTCTTTGTGGTTTTCTACATATAAAATATGTCATCTGCAAATAGTGACAGTTTTACTTTTTCCCTTCTAATCTGTTGCCTTCTCTCTCTCCCCTCCCCCGTCCCCACTAAGGTCTGGCTAAGACTTCTAATACCATGTTGAATAAAAGTGGCAGGAACAGATATCCTTGCCTTGTTCCTGTTCTTAGATGAAAAGCTTTTAGCTTTTCACCATTGACTAAGATGTGAGTTGTAGGCTTGTTGTATGGCTTCTATTATGTTAAGGAATGTTCCTTCTGTACCCACTTTTTTTTTTTTTTAATTTTTTTTTTCAATTTTTATCTATTTTTGGGACAGAGAGAGACAGAGCATGAACGGGGGAGGGGCAGAGAGAGAGGGAGACACAGAATCAGAAACAGGCTCCAGGCTCTGAGCCATCAGCCCAGAGCCTGATGCAGGGCTTGAACTCACGGACCGTGAGATCGTGAACTGGCTGAAGTCGGACGCTTAACCGACTGCGCCACCCAGGCGCCCCAATGTACCCACTTTTTTAAAAGAGTTTTTGTCATGAATGGATGTTGAATTTTGCCAGATGTTTTTCCTGTATCTGTTGAGATGGCTATATGATTTTTATCTTTCATTTTGTTTTTGTGGTCTGTATCATATAGATTTTGTGAATGTTGAACCATCCTTGCATCCCTGGAATGAATTTCAGGTGATCATTGATGTATAATCCTTTTGATATATTGTCGAGTGTGGTTCGGTAATATTTTATTGAGGGCTTTTTGCGTCTGTGTTCATCTAACTTTGATTTTTTTTAAAGAATCATTCTCTGTTATCTCTGTCATTTTTCCTTCCTCTTTCATCCTTCTATTTGTGAAATTCATCTTTCTTTTGCAGCATTCTCCCTAAATGTGTGCTGACTCTTGGCTCGGTACTCATCCCGGTGCTCAAGGCTTCTGTTGACCTGGCTGTCAATGCTGTTTCTATTTATCCTGGTTGCCCCCACCCCCTTCAGCTAGCCTCAGTACTCTAGCCTTGGGGTAAAAGCTGCAGCCTTCCCCTTGCACACAGGGATGGAAGGAGAAAGCTTATCCAGCTCATGCAAATACAGTTCCCTAGACCGGCCACCTCCTTGACATGCCCAGTGACCTTCCTGCTCCCTGTGTAGGTGAGTGCTGAGCTTGGGGTACCCAATCCCCCTCCTACTTTGTACAGAACCTTCTATATATATATGCTTGGGGCTGTGGTTTCCTCAATCCATGTAATCTCATCTGCTTTCTGTCTTTCAGTATTTCTCCACTTCTCTGGACCATTAAAAGCATTCTTTCTTGCCTTCCAGTGTTATTGTGGACTCTTTTTCATCCTTCTATTATTTCTAGGGATTTTGGGTGGAATGGAAGAGGCAGTTTAACACATCATCCAAACACTTCTTTGTTTCTCTTATCGAGAGCATTAGGACCTGTAAGTTGGTTAACTCACATAGTCTTTGAGTCAAGTACACAGGGATTTGAATCTCCACTGCTCTTACTAGCTGTGTGACTTTGAGCAATTTTCTTAAGGAAAGAGAGGCTTAGAGAGATTATCAGTTAAATGGGGATCATCCTTGTTGTGGGGCTTCAATGAGCTAAGGCATGCCAAGTCCTCAGCAGAGCCTCTAGCAGAGTGAACACTCAGTGTTTAATCTTTTGGTTATTTTTGTAAAGGTTTTAATTTTTGTTTCTTATTAAGCTAAGCCTAGTTAATAGAGGAGTGCAGCGAACCCCTTTTCCATCCATCTTATTTGGACCCAGAGTTTCTTCTTCCAGGCTTTTGCCCAGCCTCACCAGGAATGAGGGGGCTGATGCCCCCTCCCGTTCTCTCTGCAGCTCAGCTCCACCGGCTGGAAGGGCTGAGGACCATTGGCATCACCACCAATGGTATCAACCTTGCCCGGCTGCTGCCTCAACTTCAGAAAGCTGGGCTCAGTGCCATCAACATCAGCCTGGATACCCTGGTGCCAGCCAAGTTTGAGTTCATCGTCCGCAGGAAAGGTGAGCAGGTGTGGTTTGCAGTTGAGGGTAACCTTCCCAGGGCCCACATAGCTGAGGAACTGTGGCTGGTGCCAGGCAAGGGGCCTGGTTGCTCCTTTATTCTTCATCCCCTACCCTTACCAAATGTCCTCTGTCTCTGTAGCCGCACCCTTGGGAAATTTGGGGGATCAGGTGTTAGGATCTGTGGGGACCCGTCTCCCACCTGCCCTGTCCTCAGTTTGCCTAGGACTAAGAAGGTTGCTAGTGTGAGGCCTTTCCATTTTTAAAACCAAGATAGTCCCTGGTAGACCGGGACAAGTTGGTTACCTTGTGATGAGCTCGAGGGAAGATGTGGGACAGCCCAGGGTAGAAGCAGCTGCCCTGGGACGCCAGAGTCAAGGCCAGCACTTCCGGGTGGGGGTCCTGCAGAAGCGCACCCATGCCCCTCCCCCACCCCCCACCAGACTTCATCAGGGAGGGCAGAGGAGGTAGAGCAGTCCTGTGCCCCAGGTCTCATTAGGCCGACACCCGATGTCTCTTGGGCCATGGGCTTCAGTTTGGGATGGGAGGTACCCAGCGTTGGATGCCGTTTGATTTGAGAGGGTGGCACATAACTGAGACTTCTCTGCACAGTCGGAGACACAGCTGTCCTTCCCCCTCTCTGGAAACAGCTCCCAGCCCCGCCCTCTCTTTCCCCTGCTGCACCTGACTCCCTGTTTACACCATCCATCTGCTGAGGAAGTGCTCGTGGAGTCCTTGCCCTCTGTAAAGAGCTGCTCAGGTGCTGTGGAGGGGACTGAGACACACAGGACATTGCTGTGCCTCACAGGCCGCTAAGGGCCAAAATGTGTGATGCCACTAGACTACCTTTGCTTGTCTTGTGGAGTCGATTAAATTGTTACCAGAGGAGGAGAGGAAATTCCTAGCAGGGAAGACCTGGAGGGCTCCATGGAGGAGGCCTTTACTCTGGGCCTTGAGGAATAGGGGGTGGGGGGGTGGAGTTGGATCAAGGGAGCTTACTCTGAAGGGGAACCTCAGTCGGGAACCTGCAAGAGCTCTGAGGTGGGAAAGTGGAAAGTGTATTTGTGGGTTTTCCCGACATCCATGTATCCCCTGCGGCCTGATCTCCTTTCCCAGGATGAGGATCGGAGACAGTAGATCCTGACATCAGATCTGCCTTCCCATTCATTCTCCCGTGTCCACCACCTCCTTTTGGAGCTACAGTGCTTTACAGAAGAAACTTCTAGATTAACATAATGGCATTTTGTATGGAAGTTGTACTTTCTTCCCTTTTCCCTCCCTCACTGGGCCATCCAGAAATGCTGCAGGGAAACCGTGGAGGTCATCACCAGGCTACTCTCCCCCAGGGTGATAGCCCAGCTGTGAATCACAGCACCTGGCTGGGCGGGGTGGGGGAGGGGCCAGCATGCAGTAGGCGCTCAAATGTGTGGGGGCACGAGTGAGCTGGGCAGGGAGGAGAAGCCAGCCTGGGATCACAGGCTACATGCCCAGCAATCGCTCACCGGCCCTGGCACAGCGTCTGCGTGTGGTAGGTGCTCAGCAAGAATACACACAGTGAATGAATGGACAGACTGTTGTCTGTCAAGGGAGACTGACACTGACAAGGGAGTCTGGAGACCTGCATTCTGCAGCCTGCAGTGTGAGGCCTGTCTCCTCTTAGGGCACTGCCTCCTCTTAGGGCCTCAGTTTCCCCATCTAGACAATGAGAGGGGTCACCTAGATCAGGGTTGGCACACTACAGCTCACCAGCCAAATCCAGCCCCCTGCTTGTTTGTTTTATAGCCTGGGAGCCAAGAGTGGATTTTACAGATAATGTTTGTAATCGACTTAATGATAGGGAACATGAACTGTGAACCCCCCCAGTTAAGCAAAATATTATCCCAGCAAAACGACTTCTATTTCTCCATTATATTTGTCGAGCTGTGTTACAAAAAATTGTGCTCAGCTGTCGGACTGTATTAGTCAATACTGTCTTTATAGCTATACCTAAGAATATACTCAATTTTATCTCTCAGCCTTCGGATCCTAAAACATTTACTATGTGGTCCCTGGCTCGGTGGTCCCTGAGGCTCCTTATAGCTCTAGTGCTTCCCCATGGGTGTAAGGGGGGCAGGGGAGAGGGAGAAAGTTCCTGGATCCTTCTCTCCCTCCTTGCAGGTTTCCACAAAGTCATGGAGGGCATCCACAAGGCCATCGAGCTGGGCTACAGCCCTGTGAAGGTGAGGGTCCGCTGCTGCTCTTGACCTCTGACATCTGCCCCTCTACCCTGGCTTGGCCTTCCACTGCCAGCACCTGGGGCCCCTAGCAGCTCTCTGGCGTGGCCAGTGCAGCTATCCTGTGTCCCCCACCACTTCCTTGCCCACTGCATCCAGCCTGTCCCTGACCCCCTACAAGGGAGGGGAGAAAGCCAGTGACCCCCTTGGAATTCCCAACTTGAGGCCTGGGGTGGGGAGACAAGAAATGGGCCCCCCCAGTGGAGAGCCTGGGCAGATGCCAGACCCCCAAAGGTCATCCCTGAGATGGAATGCAGGGGAAACAGCCCTGTGGTCCCCTTGTCCCTGGCCAGGTGAACTGTGTGGTGATGCGAGGCCTAAATGAGGATGAGCTCCTGGACTTTGTGGCCTTGACCGAGGGCCTCCCCCTGGACGTGCGCTTCATAGAGTACATGCCCTTTGATGGTCAGTGACCTGTGGTGGGGAGGGAGGAGGAGGTTGGGCCTGGGGGGCAGAGCTGGACCAGCCCCATGCTGAGAGATGGGGGAGGGGGATACTAATGACCCTGGCAAGGGTTGAGTGGGATGGCCAAGATCTGACCGGCCATGTGGGTCCTGCTGATCCCGGGTCCTGCTCTGTGTGTAGGAATTTCTCCAGGGATGATGGGGTGGGGCCTGGGCAGGTGCCAGGGCTAGGGCTATGATGGAGGCATCGGAGATATCACAGAGTCAAGGGTGGGTTTGATTTGACCCACCTGTTTTAGGCAGGGCCTCCTGACCTCCCACCCAAGAGGCAGAACTAATTCCCAGATGATGTGGAAGGAAGGACCTGAAGACCCCGGGTCCCCACAACCCTGTGACTCCATGGCTTCCAACCCCAATACAGGCAACAAGTGGAACTTCAAGAAGATGGTCAGCTACAAGGAGATGCTGGACACCCTCCGGCAGCAGTGGCCAGAGCTGGAGAAGCTGCCCGAGGAGGAATCCAGCACAGCCAAGGTTGGGGGCAGGAGGGTGGGGCAGGGTAGGGAGGGAGAGCTAGCCCTCAGGTCAGAATGCAGCAGTGGGGGTGGTACCGCGTAGCGGGAGGCATTACCTCCTAGCCTCCTCGCTCCTCATGGACAAAGCAGCAGGCTGGGCATGGGGTGGCCACAGTACCTTGTCTCAGGCCGCATGCCAGTAATGTGGTGGAGAGGGGCTCTGGCCGTGCTGCCCACAGGCCTCTAAGTCCATAGCAGTGTGCTCTCAGGCAGGCCCGGTGCAAGCAAAGAGCTCATGGGTCGTCTGTCCTGTCAGAGTCTTCTGCCCTCTGGGGGCCTTGGGTACTCCTTTCCTGGGGCACCTCCAGAGAGGGCTGTGGAGTGGGGGCTCTGGTGCCAGGGAGTGAGACCCGGCCCTTCTCAGCCCATCCATCCTTGTCCCCTCCTCTGCCCTTCTTTCCCTCCTCACCCCAGGCCTTTAAAGTCCCTGGTTTCCGAGGCCAGGTCAGCTTCATCACCTCCATGTCTGAGCATTTCTGTGGAACCTGCAACCGGCTGCGAATCACAGCAGACGGGAACCTCAAGGTAAGTGTCCCCCTCCCCCACGAGAGCCCCTTGCCACTTCTGTGTGGTGAATATCGCTTCCCACTGGTGCCCCCATTTGGAGAGGAGACTAGCAGGGCACGAGGGGTGGTTGGGGAAATAGTGTAAGATATGGGTGGGGGGGCTCCTGGAGGCAGAAGGTGAAAGTGAACTCATGACCTTCCTTCCTAGGGTCCCCAAAGTAGCTTTGGGTTGATTGGGAGCCACTTTCCAGGACTCTGTGTTACCGGGGTGGACGGGGGAGAGGTGAAGAGTCAGTGTGCACTGAGCCCCGGCCCCCCACCCTGACTGGCCCCTTTCTGGGCCCGGGGCTCAGCTCCGAAACCATCATCTGTTACTCATATCCAGTCAGTACATCTGTGCCTTCAGCCCTGGGGAATGTCAGAGAGGCATAGACATACCCATTCTCTTTAGAGGTAAAGTCTCAGAGCAAACAAAGAGCTGATGTGTGGCAATGTGTAATTCTTTGTCAGACGAGCGGCCACACAGGCCGTAGGGTGGTGGACCTTGAGGAGGCACCTTATGGACGCTGGTGAGCCTTGAAGGATGAAGTGAGGGTGAGGGAGAACACTTGTCCGGGGTTCGTGCTAACATGGCAGGGGCAGATTCATGCCAGGAAGAGAGACACTGCACGGTAGAGGGCTCAAATGCCCGGGGAAAGAGGTGCAGTGTGTGTTCTGTTGACAGTGGGGTGCTGTGCAGGTTCTGGACAAGGGGGGACATGACTCCCATTCATGTTTGAGGAAGAATCACCCGCTGGTTGAATTTGGAAATAGGGAGACTAGTCAGATGGCCGCTTCACTCTCGGTGTAGGTAAGAGTGTGAGGTGAGCACAGGAAGGGAGAATGAAGGAACTTGGTAACGCACGCGGAGGGCCAAGAGGAGGGCGTCCAGGGGCCAGGTTGGCTGTGGGACCTGGTTAGCACTGGGGAGGAGGGTGAGAGCGGTTTAGGTGCACTGAGTTTGACATCCTAAAGGGACCATCCAGTGCTTGTTCAAAAGTTAGGGTTTTTCTTTTTCTGGGCTGGAGATGTGGAATGGCCATCAAGTATGGACCTGCATCTGTATAGTCAGGGCCCCTGCCGGAGATGGGAGGTGAGGTTCTGAAGAGAATGTAATGGAGAGGCTATTCCTGGTTCAGGGTGAGGGGGGCTTGGCAGAGATGTCAGCAAACAGCTGCTCCCACCCCGGGGAGGAAGCCGTGTCATGGGGGCCCAGGCAGAGCTGCGGCCTGGTGGAGGGGAGCAGTCACTGCCCGACATGGCAGAGCCGGGAAGAAGTGCCCAGTCTTTCCAGTGTCCCACGGGCCAACCCAGGTGGAAGCCAGCTGGAGGGCAGCCCAGAAGGTGGAGTCCGTGGGGGCCTCATGGTTGCAGAGAGTGGAACCTGAGGCCTGGTGGGGGGACCGAGGGGTGGGAAATGAGAACAGCCCGGTGAATTGGGTGCACCTTACACTTAGAATTTGTTTGTATCTTCTCCAGCGCCCTCTGAGGCTTCTTGGACATTCCTCAGTGTCCACGGTGCCACTTTCTACAGAGCCGGCACGCAGTAGGCGCTTGATACGGTTTTGTGGGAGGGTGGTAGGCGTCTCACTTTGTGGGACTGCCTCGTCCATCCCGAGCCCCCACAGCACCCAGCCTCCCTCAGGAGCTGGGGAGTATCGAGTCTGAATGGGCTCAGGATGCCACCTCCGCCAGGCCCATGCTATTCAGCCATGAATCAGGATCACAACCTGGAGTGGGCACAGGGGCAGGCAGGTAGTGTCTGTGACTATGGGGACCAGGAAGGGACAGGGGTGAAATGGGATGTGCATGCCACGTCCAGGGTAACTGGCAGGACTCTTCTCTAGCTGATTGGCATCCATTCTCAAGGCAACGAAGAGGCTATTGTATGGAACATCTCAGGAGAAGGTATGGGTCACATTGGGTCACATTTTTGTGTGCCATCTCTGGTCACTGTTTAATTTTTTATAGTACGCTCTACAAGCTGAAGGTAACATGGCCGTCAATCAGGTACAGGCCTTGGGGTATCTGACTTCCTGCCCTTCCAGCCTCTCTGACTTCACCATCCAGCACCTTCTGTCCTTCATTGCAGGAAGTCCTGCCTGGAGTATGACCCAGCCACAGGAGGCCTGGGTGCTGACGCTCGGCCCATGGGGGACTCTAGGGATGGGGGCTGAGGCCCCAGGACCAGGGAGGCATGTTCTCTTACCCCCATGGTGACTGCCCACAGGTCTGCCTCTTCGGGAACTCGGAGGTGTCTCTACGGGATCACCTGCGGGCGGGGGCCTCCGAGGAAGAGTTGCTGCAAATCATCGGGGCCGCTGTGGGCAGGAAGAAGCGGCAGCATGCAGGTGAGGGGTGGGCACGGAGAAGGCCAGGCTGGCTGCTGAGTGGGCCAGGATGGGGGCTGAGAGGACAGAGCAGAGCTTGGCAGGGAGCCGGCGGGACTCTGTGCTGTCCTGGCCTCCAGTCCCTCCTGTGGCACCTGTAGACTGGGGGTGTGGTGATGGTTCCCCTCCCTTGGGGGCACTGGCACAGCAGAGCCTGTGCAGCAGAGGAGACCCTGAATTCTCTTGGGCCGTCTTATTGGGCAAGGGGGAAGAGGGGTGTCACTGTACCTCTCTGGAGGGCGGGGTCCGGCATCCACAGACTACTCTGGCTCTGTCATGGGTGACCTTGCAGCGTGCAGCGGGGGCTGTTTGTCAGGGTGTGCCTAGGTGAGTGCATGACCCCGGGGTGTCCTACCACTATGTCCACTTTCGGTTTCAGTGAACTCTCCTTTCCCCGCCCTTCCCCTCCCCCTTTCCTGCTCTCCTCTCCCTCCCCATCTTTCCCTTACCCCAGGCATGTTCAGTATTGCCCAGATGAAGAACCGGCCCATGATCCTCATCGGTGGGTGACCCATCAGTACGTAACCGCTCACCCTTGTCACTGGGGAATCCTGTGGGGTGGGGCCCCTGCCATACAGAAGGCACCCCCAGGTCCTGCATTTCATCCTGATGTTCTCATCCTTGTTTTTCTCCTGTTCAACCTCCATCTTTTTCACCCCTCAAGCTTTACTGGGTCTTCTCTTCCTCGTCTATTGCTCCCACTCCCTCTACATGCCACAGAGATCATCATTGTCTCACCAGAAATTGGGGCGGGGGTCCTCTAGACTTATGATCACTAAGTTATTTGTCCCCCGAAAATGGAGCTCCTGGCTAAGACAGAGACCTTGTCCTTGGCTCTAGAATCCCCCAGCTAGATACCATCACAGGCACCTGGGAAGATCTTGAGGCAGCAAGCTAAGAATGCTATTGATCTTTTCAGGGAGGGGACAAGCAGGATCTCAACTGCCTAATTCCTTAACTCCTGGAAACTTGTGTGCACAAGACAGTTCCAGTTTTTATAAAGTCATATGTGTTCTCTGGCTGGTCTGTGAGGAGCTTTAGAGAGGCTGCTACCCCTCTGGCAAATGCCCAGCCGAGATCAGGGGAGGCCTTGCCCCCTTGGCCACAGCCAGACCTGGGCTTCTGAATCGTACTGCTAGGCAAGAGGAAGCAGTGAGAACTAGGGGAAGGGATTCTTTTCTCTAGAGATTGGAGCCGAATGAGTGCAGGGGCCCAGAGGAAGGCAGGCTGGAGGGCCCAGAGACAGCCCAAGGACGACCTCCCCTACCAGCCACTCAAAGAAGGGCAGCTCGCCAAAGTGCTCCACTGGGAAGAGAACTTGACCATCTCTCTTCTTTCCTCACTGCCAGCATCATAGTTGTACAGTTGGGCTTTGACCCATGGTGACCACCTTGATGGCAAGGAGCGGGGGATGCCTTGGTGGCCTCTCTAGGGCATTGGCAAGGTGGGGGCCCAGAACATGATGGGAAGCTGGAAGTTGGGAGGCCCATTTGCTTCATAAAGTGTATTATTCCTCTCAAGGACATGGAGAAATAAGCTGGTCTGGTTTCTACAAAACCAAGAGTTGCCTAGAATAGGGCCTCTGACTTTCATGCACACGAACCACTTGGGGATCTTGTCATTTCAGATTTGGATTTGGGAGGTCGGGGCTGGAGTTCTTCCCTGGACCACGCTTTAAGTCACAAGAGCCTGCAAGGCTCCCAGGGCCCTTGGCACCACTTGGAGTACCCTGTCACTTTGTGGGTACTTCCGGTGTCCTTGAGGGGGCTTAAAAGACATTGTTTAAATAGATAAAATATTTCCCTTCGTATCTTGCCTGTGTAAACTCTATAATTACTATCAACTCTTCATAGAGAATGGAAAGATGAGAGTAACTGTGGTTGGTAATTCAGGCTGAAACCTTGCTGTAGTTTTTAGAAAATGCAGGGACATGGAGAGGTCATGTGATACGCTGTAGTCTTCAGATCTTAGGTGTTTTTTTTGTTTTTTTTTTTTTTTGAGTATGAATGGGGGAGAAGGGCAGAAGGAGAGAGAGAGAGAGAGAGAGAGAGAGAGAGAGAGAGAGAGAGAGAGAGAGAGAGAGAGAGAGAGAGAGAGAGAGAGAATATATGTTAATCAGGCTCTATGCTTAGTGCAGAGCCTGATGTGGGGCTCAATTCCACAACCCTGGGATCATGACCTGAGCCAAAATCAAGAGTCAGATGCTTAACCAACTGAGCCACCCAGGCACCCCATGACTTTGTGTTTCAGAAGAGAACTTGAGCGATGAGGAAGTGTTGGTGTGGAAGGGAGCCCAGGAATGCCCACACCACCACCGTGGGCCTGTAGACTTTGGGGAGGGCTGCACCCTGCATGCTGCCTGCTGAGAGGGGCTGCAGACCTATATTCCAGGACTCTCTGTCTGCGTACCTCCTGCTTTCCCTTTTCTCACTGTGCTCTTTGCTCTTCACCCCTCTCTCCCAGTGTGGAAGTGAGAACTCAAGGTGGGGCAGGGCAGGGTTTGGGAGAGGAGGTGGGAAAAGAAAATTTCCCTTCTGGACTTAGTCTCTCTTCTCTTTCCTTCTTGCTTTCCAGAGTTACTTTTGATGCTCCAAGATTCCCCACCAGCCATTCCAAGCATTTCCTCCCAGGACCCCTTTCGTGTTCAGGGTATAGGACACAGAGTGAGTTTCTCCAACCAGATGGCGACTTTGTGGAAAGGATGCCGGGGCCCCCGGACCTCTCTCCTTGCCCAGCGGTGGCTGGGGTCCGGCCCCCCTCAGAGACACTGCAGTTCCCGCCTAGACTCAGATACCAACCCCAAGTGCCTTAGTGCAGTGTCCCGGGCTCCTGCCACCCCCTCAGGACCCCCGCCAACCTCGGACCAACTAACCCATGTGGACGCAGAAGGACGGGCAGCTATGGTAGATGTGGGCGGGAAGCCGGACACGGAGCGGGTGGCTGTGGCCTCGGCTGTGGTCCTTCTGGGGCCCGTGGCTTTCAAGCTTGTCCAGAAGAACCAGCTAAAGAAGGGAGATGCCCTGGTGGTGGCCCAGCTGGCCGGAGTCCAGGCCGCCAAGCAGACCAGCCAGCTGATTCCTCTGTGCCACCACGTGGCCCTGAGCCACGTCGAGGTACAACTGGAGCTGGACAGCACACGCCATGCCGTGGGGATCCAGGCGTCTTGCCGGGCTCGGGGCCCCACTGGGGTGGAGATGGAAGCCTTGACCGCGGCTGCTGTGGCCGCCCTCACCCTCTACGACATGTGTAAGGCTGTCAGCAGAGACATTGTATTGGGAGAAATCAAGCTTATTAGCAAGACTGGGGGGCAGCGGGGGGACTTCCATCGGACTTAGCTCTTGCCCCTCCCCCCCGGGCCCAGCCAGGTCGAGATGGGATGCAGTTCCGGGCAAATCCTGCAACCCTGTCGCTGTTGACCTTCACCAGTAGGAACTCGAGGTCAGCCTACCCCCTCTACTGCTACATGATCGGTAGTGACCTGCAAGGTTTTCTACGTTCAGAGAGGAAACCAGCAGGCCCGTTAGCCTTCCTGGACACTACAGTCGTGGGAGGGGGTCACCACGAGCAGTGCCAACGAACAGAAAAATCACGTCATCTGAAATAGTCCCCAGATAATACATCTAGGTTCAGACAGTCCCGTCCGTGACTTCCGCTTCTCATTTTGGGTTTTCTCTTCTTCTCCTTCCTTGGGGAGAGAATAAGGGCTCACGAAGTAGAGGGAACCCGCTTTGAGGAGGGAAAAGTGCAGTTTGAATTAAGAATGTTCCACAGCTCCTCCAAAGCAGCTCTGCCTTCCAGAGTTTGTGGAGCCACAGCCCCACCCTTTCTTGCCTGTCACCCCTCTGAAAGGGCCAGTTAGCACCTCCTTTTACCCCAGTCTTTGTCCCATCAAACTTGCAGGGTTTGGGCCTAACAATTGCACTTGACCTGCCAGCTCCCTTTCCTGGGCCCCTTCCCCCTAGAACAGGACCCACACGGGCAGCAGCCCTGAGGACTCCTGACCGAGCACACATCCCACACCTGGCCCTGCACACTGCTGTTCCACCCACCACCCACACCCCTTTATTCTGGAACATATCAGGGAAAGAAGAGAGTTGAAGATTGCCTTCACCCTCACAGCGCACAAAATAAAGCCACGATGCCAACTTTGGAGGTGCGAGAATGAGTATCTGTGCAGGGGGTACCCAGCTGTTAGGAATCCATGCCCACCCCTCAGCCCTGTCCCAAAGCCCACCCCGGGCAGCAGGGAAGAGGAGCAGGAGGGATGTTAGAAAAGCCAAAGGGGCACGTTCTCTGTATAGCCTCTGTCTTCCCTGTGAGAGAAGGTAGGAGTGGAGTGGGCGGCATGAGCTGCACACCCTGCGGTGAGTGTCAGGTGGGGTGGGGGTGGTCCAAAGCACATCGCTGGCTTTGCCAGCTATTTGAGATCAAGGGGGTACACTTCGTGGTTCCTGGTATGCACATTCCCAAACACTGTTGGCTGGGTTCGCCTATGCAGATCGGCATCTTTGGGTCTGTCTTCAGTGCCCCCCACCCTGCCTGCCCCCCCCTACCCTACACTCAGGTGTGCTGGCGAATGTTTGACAACCAGCTCTTGGGAAGAGAAAAAGCCAAAGACCGTGGCTGATCCCAAGCTACCGTACAATGTGAACTGACTTGCCAAACTTTTGAAAATATAACAGTTGGTGCTCTCAGAGCTGATTCGCGCCGGTTCCAGCACCCCACTGGCTACAACTGCTCTCCCGCACACCTCAAGTCCCCGCACCGGAAGAAGGCCCAAGTGTCAAGGCAGCCTGGATGGGGATGGTATGGATTTAATATTTTTTAGTATTACAATATATTCTTATAAAAATGGTGCAGGTAAAAAGGATGCTGATTTTGTACATTAGCCTCGCTCGTCGTCTGAGACGGCTTGGTGAAAGCAGCCATGGCTTGGAGGCATCCCTGGTAGAGGCTGGAGGAACAGTCATGGTGCCCCAGTTGGTAAAAATGGGATGGGGGTGGGGAGAGCCTGGACCAGACCCTTTCCCATCCACCTGGAGAATTTTTTTCCTCCTGCTGCCCTAAGCACACCTGACCTCCCTCACCAGGGAGGAAGAGCCGGTGCTACTGCTGAGAAGGGGACAGGTTGCATTCGGTTAACTGAATTTTATATTGGACACAAAATTAGACAGCTGGAGAAATGTACCTGAAGGTGGCAGGAGGGGTGAGAAGGACACTGGGGAAAGACCAAGGAACAAATAGGCGTAAACGTTGAGCATATCAAGGACCAACTCAACCGTCTCCATGGGGCACCAGCCCCTTCTTGCTGAGTCAACTATGATGGTCTGTGGTCCAAGGCACTGTTGGAGATCTGGCTACTCTACTGGCCAGAGCTAGAAAATAATAAATAGAGAAGGAAAATTCTTTTGGGGTGAGAAGCCTGAGCCCTAGAACAAGGTATGTGTCCTCTGTAAACAGTTAAACCAAAGTGTGCTTTTCTGTGGCTCCAATGTCTTGAACCGCTCCTGTATTGTCTTTCCTGGTGTGTATCCAGTCTTCCATGGTGAGTGGGAATGCCACAATGTGGACATGCTGTTGGATAGAAGTGGAGCCCTCCCTTGTTCCCTGTTCCTGCAGGGTAGGTTGATCTCAGCCCAGTTTGGGAGAGGACCTTCAGAGACTGTGCCCACAACCTTCCCATCATGCCAAGGCCAGCTGCTTGTGGCGGGGGGCTGCCGGGTATACAGATGGGTTTAGCAAAGCCCTCTGCAGCTGCTCTTCCTGGAAGCCTTCATCTTGCCTTCACCTGGACTCCAGGATGGCCTCTTCCGGTCCTGGCCAGGCTTGCATTTGCTCAGATCCCTTCCCCTCAAACCAACACACATGCTGGGCTCACCAACCCTATGTTTCTTCCCCCTGCCGACAGCTACTCTGGCCCTGCCCCAGGAATCTGATGTAGGGAAAAGCTAAGATAAGCAGCTGAAGAGTGGGCCTAGCCCACCAGGCAATAACCCTGAGCTGGAGGAGTAGGTTGGAAGGTGAGAACAAAGGGAAGGGCAGGAAGATAGAAAGGCAAGGAGCTGGTTGATGGAGGGTCTCAGAGGCTCTCAACTCTAGGAGGAAGAAATGTATGGGAAATAAAAGCCTTGATGGGGCTGATCTCTCCTCCCTTCTTTTAGAAGTCAGAAGTTTTGTTTCGACACAGCAATTGCCCCCCACCTCCAGGACAGCTCAAGATGGACAGAATGGAAGGCGGAAGTGGATGGGAGGACCAGTATGGACCTCTGAAGTCAGGCTGAAGAACTAAATTGAGAGGTTGGTCCCATCCAGCATCTCTGGTACCCAGCCTTCCAAACTTGGCTCGTTCAGGCAGCACACCCCCAGAGAAGTTGGCCTTTCTCCTCCATATCCCATCTCCCTAGCTTCCTCTGCCTGCTCTGGCTCCCAGTCTGAATGCTTCGGAGCTCACAGGTAAATGCAGAGGGCAGCTCTGGCCCTGCGGACCTTCTCAGAAACAAGACACCCCAGGGCCAGCCTGAGCCAGCTATACATGGTTTGGAGTGGTCTTTCACAGGTCAGAGGAGTGGGGGCGGGGGGGGGGGGGGGGGGGGGGGGGGGGGTCACCATGGCTTCTGCCCTGAGGCAGACATTAGACAAAGAGTTTGGGATCTGATGAACAGTTAAGTGGTAGACCAGGGAGCACTAGAGTGGAGCTTGGTGTTCAAGTGCTGCCCTCTAGTGAGAGGCTATCAGAATTCCCAGCCAACACCATGTGTGGTCCCACTTCACTTCAAGACAGTGGTTGGGTTATGCAGAGGAGGTGTGAGGAGAGTTTTGTTCCAGGGTCCCTATGCCCAAGGCACGAGGCATGGTGATGAGCGGGATCTTTCTTGAACCCCTTCCCTTACCAGATTCATCAAGCATCTGATAGCCATAGTCATGGGAACCCAAAGGTTCTGAGATTCAGGATTAGTAGATAGGATGGAGGTTGCAGTAGGAAGGAAGGGAGAGAGACTTAAGACATGCAAGAGAGGGGCCAAAGGACTTGTGATGTAGACAACAGGCACTGCTACCCTGTGTCCTGAGGACTTGGTCCCTGCATCACACTCCCCACACTTTTTCTGAAACATACCTAGGTAGATTACATAATGCCTCTTCCTTTTCCATCCAAGAGGAAAGTTTTCCCCCAGATCAAGATTCCATGAAGCCTCCCCTTGGGGAATGGGGGCCTGCATTCTCTCACTCTGGCTCTCAGGGCACCCCCCGTCCATTAACTCCCTACCTCACATGACATCTGGACAAGGCCCATGGATCTGTCCAGTCTAGATCTAGAACACTTGTGTGCCAACACGTGGGTGCCCTTGCTGGGGAACAGGGGGGCAAGGCTCCTTCAGGCCAGCCTGCCAGGGATGTCCAGGTCCACCTCAGAGGGACCCTGGGGGCCGGGATGCAGAAAGAATAATGGAACAGGAGAGGAGCCCCTTCAGGTAAGTGCGGGGACACCTGGTCCTGCCACACACACCGCCCCCACCCCAGGACCCAGCCCAGGGCTCGTTCAAACCGAGCACCAAATTGTTTAAGGATCACGGCCGCACGCCCTCAGCCCCTTGGTCCGTCCCTGTCTCCCGCCTCCTGCGGTGGCCAGTCCCCTGGGTCAATAATTTAGCCTGCTGATCGCCCGTTCCCGGGTGACTTCCGGGGCCTGGCTCCCCGACCGCTTGCGGCTGCGCTTGAGCTTGCATAAGTCCTTGTCAAAAACTTCCCCCGAGCGCAGGGCGGACACCAGGTCGTCAAACTCGCCTCCTTCCTCCAGCGTGCTGCCCGCGTGGACCTTCCGCTGCCGCTGCCACCGCTCCCGCTCCCTCTGCTCCTTCAGCTGAAGGATGAGGAAGAGCGAGGGGCCGTCAAACAGGTGGCTGTGCGCCTCACCGGCCCCCTCCCTCCCTCCCTCTGCCCTCCCCAGCAGCACCCCACTCAGCCCAGCCCTCTCACCATGGCTTCCATGCGCGCGCGCCGCTCCTCCTCCTCTTTCCTCCTCCGCATGGTCTCCAGGTCCTGCCGGGCCTCCGAGAAGGCCTGCAGGAAGGTGTCAAAGATTCCAAAGAATTCGTCCGGCTGCATCTTGCTGTCCTGCTCCCCAAAGTGCATCAGAGCCTTGGAGAACTGTCAGGGGGAGAAGGGGTGGTGAGAGTCTCTCCCAAGCACGGTGGGCTCAGCCCACGTGGTAAGCTGGGTTCCCGCCAGAGGCCAGAGCGGAGCCCAGCCCAAGGCTGGGGACGTTTGACACAGAGGAGCAGGGCTACAGCGCGGGAGACACCCTCTATCATCAGGGCAGGGACAAGGCCGAAGGAAAAGCCTGAGGCTGACACCATGGGGTGGTGGGGGATCCAGGCTGGCTGACACCTGCCCAGAGCCACCACTGGGTCTCTTATGGTGTAGGTATGAGATCAGGAGCTGCAGATCTTGGGAAGTACGTCTTAAGGTCACAAATTGCCTGTCAGAACTCAAAAGGACCTCAGAGATCATAGAGTTACTGGGCTAATTTAACCCCTTTGTGTCCCAGTTTCCTCATGTATAAAATGGGGACAATAGACCCTACTTCATAATGTTGTGAGGGGGAGGCGAGTTAATAGGTATAAAGCATTAACTGTAATTATATGTATCAGGCACTGATTCTGATATTTATTGACAGCTACCATCTCTAATTCAAACCAGAGTATGCTCCATGGGCCAGCATGGGCATCTCAGGCCCATCCCAGACCTCCTGAGTGAGGGCCCACTATTAACAGGACCCTTCATAGACAGGGTCCATGTGGATGTTAGTGTGAGAAGCCGGGAAGAGGCAAAGCAACTATGACCAAAGCTGAGCTCTGGAGTTAGGATTCTAACCCAGCTCTGTGCATTACTGCTGGGAAACCTTGGACAAGTTCCTTAACCTCTCTGGACGTCAGTGTACATGCTTGTCTGATGGGCTAATGACCTTTCCACAAGCCATATGGTAGGTCATGAGACAAATCATGTAAAACAAGATGGTATCCATACCTGCTGAATGGATCATCTTTGCAACAAAGATGCTATTGCTTTTCTTACAGGAGTGAGGAAATTATTTTTCCTGAAAACTCTTGACTCTGGGTTTGTCCCTTCTGTGCCTTGGGTGGTAGGAATGGGTAAGAAGTGGGGGTGGGGTGGGGTGGGAGTCAGACTGGGACTTAGGGCACACTTACCTTGTCCCTGGCCTCATTGAGCTGGTCTTCCAGCTCTGAGAAACTAAAGCTGGAGACCGTGATGAAGTCACTCATGACTGGGACAAACTTGTCATTTGGTTCCCGTGCCTGACGCTTCTGATATTCTAGCTCCTGAAGAGGGAGAGTGAAGTGCTGGTTAGAGAAGTGCCAGCATAAAAGTCAAGAATTCTGGGGGTCACCACATCTCCCATCCTTCTTCCAATCACGAGACCACTGGGTCCTGCCTTTGGAAGAGGGAACACCCCGAGTCTCACAATTCTAAGGGTGGCAAAGGTTGTGAGAGTTCTCCCTCATGCACTACTGCCATCTTTGTTTCTCTAGATCCTTGCTACCCAATGTGGTCTGGGACTAGTAGCACCATCACCTGAGAAATTTGAAGAAATACAGACTCTCAGGCTCTACCCTAGACCTATGGAATCAGAATCTGAATTTTAACAAGACTCTCAGATGATGCATGTGCAGATTCAAGTATGAGATGTGTTTCTAAATCTCCTAGCTGATGTGAATGCTGCTGGTTATGGGCCACGCTTTAAGTAGCACTATCAAGGGCTATGAATTGGAAATCGCCCCCTGTCCCCACCATAGCAGCAATGAAAAGTTCTTTCTCATTCTCTAAGCTCATTCTCCCCTTATCTGCCTATTACCCCTTCCCCCAGTAAAGATAGGGTCTCCAGTTCCCAAATGTGGAAGACATAGGACTGGGGACATTGCCATATGGCCAGCCTAGCCTAGGGCCAGAGATGATATCATCTGAGAAGCCATCAGAGCATGAATGGTGATGATTAGACACCTGAGTCTCCAGAAAAGAATGCAGGCCCTGTGTCCTCTACTGGCCCAGGGAGAAGAGACAGAAGGCAGGAACTTCTGGGGACTGCTGTGCCTGGTGTCACACTATGTGCTACTGTCCCTAATTGGCTTCCCAGGGATACAGATACTCTTTCACATCCACTTGAATCAGACTTAAGCAAGTGCCTACTTATGGTTCTTTCTACTCCACTGCCCAATAGATATGCTGGGCGTGATATGGCTAGTCTGATGTCCCTCTTTGAGAGTCTAAATTTAAGTCATCCAGTCATCCTTTCCTGAGGGCTAGCTCTTTTGCTGCCTATTACTTGATCAAATGATGGACCCCCCCAGGCAGTAGACCCCCAGACAGTAGGCTCTGGTGCATTTCGTGTCCCAAAGTTCCTGCCTGGGAACTGGCACAAGGTACAGCCTCCAGCACAGACACAGGCAGCCAGTGCAGATCTGCCTCTGAAAACACCCCCTCAAACCCAGGCAGGCATAGATGATGTACTTACCACTTCAACCGCTCTGAGGCCCCTCCTGAGGTTACCCACCTCCTTCTCCAACTCTGCCAGGCTGTAGGGAGACACAGGAAGGAAGAAGAGCTGAGGATGGGTCAGAGAGATAGCAGTGCAAAGCATGATGGCCTTGGAATCAGTAGACCCATGCTCCAGGCCCTGCTTTGGCCACTAACATGTGGCCCTGACAAACCACCTCCCCTCTGTGCTCTGTCTGTGCTTCTACAAAATAACAGTGGTCAAAACTTATGTTCTAAAGATCCTTCCAGATCAGAAATGCTATGCTGAAATTAGAAGGTTTCCAACACATGGCCTCTGGCTTGAATTATTTTTAACACCACCAGCTAATACTTATAAGCTCTTAACATGGTATCTTGCATGCAGTAAGCATTTGATGCATATTAGTCATTTTTCACTTCATTTCTGCTTCTGTTGAGATACTCCTGTCAGTCTATGGCTGTTCAGGTCTGACTTCTTGCCTATATCAGATAACATTGGTGCCACATCCATATCCCCTTGAACCATCCATTTGTAGTGTGTACAATCCTGACTTCCAATGATGTGAGTGCTTTCTCTGGGGACCGGAGCTCCCTCTGCCTATACATGTGGCCAGAGTTATGACCTGCCCAGAGACCATCAGCCAGTGACTGACAGGAGATGGGGTATAATATCCTAGCTCCCTCACCATTTGGGGTGGGATAAGTAGAATAAGTATCCTATTCTGTCTCCTAGACTTCTCTGGAGGGATTAAGCTCCAATTGCCCCAGGGGTAACTGGCTTAATAATACTTCCATTATTGGTATTCATCCCATCCCAGGCTCACTTCCCCACTGTGTTTCCTAGGAGCATCTCTGAAATAAGGATTTGAGAGCAAGTAGCCAGTCTTCATTTGGTTCTCCTAAAAGCAGACCCTGAGACACTGCCCATTCCTAGTCAGCCCAGAGCAGCAATGAAAGGAAATTTAGATAAGAGTGTTATGATCACAGGGAGAAAGAAGCCTTGGAAGGGCCCCTCACTTGACTTTGGCGGCTTCTGGAAGATGCTGTAGCTCTGAGGGCATGTTCAGGATGTCCGGGAAGTGCTTCTCCAGGATCATGATCAGGTAATGGAGTAGAGAGATGTTTCTGTGGATAAAAGATCAGGGGTAAAGGAATGAGTGCCAGGAGGAAACTAGATGGGGTCAGGGGCGGGGGGGAGGTCAGGGACAAAAGGCAAGGAATTTGGGTTGGAAATGGGAGGAGGAGGTGGAGAAAGGCCAAAGTGGTGAGATGGAAGATAAGGAAGCAGATAGAGTCCCACCTGTCAATGCTGGACTTGGTGTCTGCAATCTTGTTGAGGCTGGCCACCCGGAACCCATAGGCACCCCCACGCTGCCCTTTGTTCATGAAGTTGCCAATGGCCAGGACGACCTCTAGCATCCGCATTAGACGCTTGCTGCGGATCAGCTCCCTGGAGGCCAGCAGGATGGCTGGGGGAGGAGGGACAGGTCAGAGTCCTGCAGAGACTGGGCAGCCCCCTTGAACCACAGGATGATGCCACCACAAAGTCCAGTCTTCAACTCTCAGAGGGGCAGAGGCTATAACCATACTACAACAGATTGATCTACTCCCCACCTGCCCACTTCCAAGGGAAGCAGGTAAATTTGCCAAAAGCGACTTCAACAAATAGCCCATTCTCAGAATGTGCTAACTCTTAATATATTTAAGACTATCTTTTCTTGTATATGTTTAAAGATTAGTAATATATTCTTTCTATGGTTACACACAAGAATATAATACTTTTACTTTTTTAAACTTAGTGATTAAACTTTTAAATTTCAGCATTTTACATATTATGGGACTGTTTCTGCCGCTTTTGAAATGCTGGAGGTTTTTTGGGGGTGGGGGGATCCCTGTCAAATTATAACATGTCACCAATAATATTCCCATATTTTTGTTCTATATGCTTTGTAGTTGGTGGTGTCTTTGATTTAATAGTTTACTTAACATCTTGTTGAATATCATTTGAAATTTTTTCCAACTTTTAGGCATGTTAACAATTTCTCCCCAATTCCTTAAAAGATACATTTCCTATAAATACAAACTAAGGTTAACAGTAACCAAAACTTCAGTATTTCATTCCAATGTGGATGCTCTAGCCCACCCTCAGCTATTATGCACTTATGGCAGATGTGCAAAACTGGGATACGAATCCTACACTGAAATGTTGGCTACTAGTTATGGAATATGCTTTTTGATTATTAAGTGTGGTGATAGGAACACCAAACCATCACATGATCTTCAGCTTATGCCAAACTGAACATTCCTAAAGATGCTGCTATGGAGATAAAATGAGAACCATCTGACTATAAAAGTCTGCAGAAATCCTCAAAAGCAGTTAAAAATAAGTAATTGTAAAAAAAGAAGCTGTGGAGATTCCCCAGGACCTCCCAGCTTGTACCCACTTCAGCTTCCTTCCAGGACACTTTCTGTGTCCTGGACACCACCTGGGCCCGCTCCCGCTTCAGTCCTAGCCATCCCACCAGGGCAACCCTAGTATAGAGCACCCTGGGATCCTCAGCCCATATCAGCCACAGCTCCAGCCAGCCAAAGTCACCAGACACGCATAGCCTACACAAGGAATGACCATAAGACCATTCCTTCAAGTTTAAGAGAAGTATCTTTTCTGCCTATTCATAGAAATAAAGACTGAAAGTCAAGCAAAATGGGGAGACAGAGGAATATGCTCCAAACAAAACAGAACAACTCAGAAAAAACCAAATGAAATGGAGATAAGCAATATGCCTGATGAAGCGTTTAAGGTAATGATCATAAAGTTGCTCACCAGACTGGAATGAAGAGTCGAAGTACTCAGTAAGAACGTCAACAAAGAGAAAATATGAAAAAAATCAGAGTTGAAGAATATATCTACACTAGTGGGAATAAACATATTAGCAGGTGAAGAGGAACAGAACAACAATTTGGAATACAGAGTAATGGAAAACACCCAAGCTGAACAGCAAAAAGAAAAAGCTTTTAAATGAGGGCAGGTTAAGGGATCTTTTGCATAGCATAAAGTGAACAAATGTTCATATATAGGGGTCTCACAAAAAAAAAAGGGGTGCACAAAACTTACTTGAAGAAATAATAGTTGAAAACTTCCCTAATCTGGAGAAGGAAACAGACATCCAGGCTCAGGAAGCACAGAGAGTTCCAAATAAGATGAACCCATGGAGGTCTACACCGTAACATATAATAACTAAAATGTCAAAAATTAAAGATAGAGAATTTTAAAAGCACCAAGAAAGAAGGAAAATTACATACATGGCCATAAGACTGTCGGATGATTTTTCAGCAGCAACTTTGCAGGCCAGAAGAGAATGGCAGGATATATTCAAAGTGCTGAAAGGAAAAAAATCTACAGCTAAAAATACTTTACCCAGCAAGACCATCACTCAGGATTGAGGGAGAGATAAGAGTTTCCCAGGCAAACAAAAGGTAAAAGAGTTCATCACCACTAAACCATTCTTAGAAGAAATGTTAAAGGGACTTCTTTAAGTAGAAAAGAAAAGGCTTTAATTAGAAGTAAAAAAAAAAAAAAATTATGACTAAAAGATGTAAAATATGACACCATATACATAAAATGTGGAGGGTGGAGCAAAAAAAGTTCTTTTAGAATGTGTTCAAACTTAAGTGAACATTAATTTAATATAGAAATCCATATACTTAGGATGTTATATATGAACCCCATAGTAACTATAAACCCAAAACCTTTAACAGATACACAAAAAATAAAGATAAAGCCAAGCATAACACTAAAGAAAGTCACCGATCACAAGGAATGAGAGCAATAGAAGAAAGAAACAGAGAAGAACTACAAAAACAACCAGAAAACAATGAACAAAATGGCAATAAGTACATACCTATCAACAATTACTTTAATTGCTAATGGTCTAAATGCTCCAATCAAAAGACATAGAGTGGCATGATGGATTAAAAAAAAAGGCTCATCTATATGCTACCTATAAAAGATTCACTTTAGACCTTAAGACACGTATAGACTAAAAGTGAAAAGATAAAAAAAAAAAAAAAAAAAAAAAAAAAAAAAAAAAAAGATAGTCCATGCAAATAGAAGGAAAAAAAACAGGGTAGCAATACTTAGACGAAATGACCTTAAAAAACAAAGACTGCAACAAGAGACAAAGGCATTACATAATGATAAAGGGATCAATCCAACAAGATGATATAACAATTGCAAATATCTATGTACCCAACATTGGATCACCTAAACACACATAGCAAATATCAACAGACATAAGGGGGAGAAATTGATAGTAATACAATAATATCAAGGGACTTTAACATCCCACTTACATCAATGAATAGATAAGTGAGGCAGAAAATCAATAAGGAAACCGTGTCTTTCAATGATACATCATAAATATTGACAGATATATACAGAATATTCTATCCAAAAACAACAGAATACACTTTACAAGTGCACATGATACAGTGCAAAAGTCTCCAGGATAGAACACATGTTAGGCCACAAAACAGTCTCAAACTCAGAAAGACTGAAATCATACCATGCATCTTTTATGAACACAATGGTATGAAACTAGAAATCAATCACAAGGAAAAAAACTGGAAAAAACATAAACATGTGAAGGCCAACAACATGTACCAAACAGCCAGTAGATCAAAACGAAATGAGATGACATTAAAAAAATAGAAACAAGTGAAAATGAAAACACAATCATCCAAAATCTTTGGGACTCAGCAAAAGCAGTCCAAAGAGGGAAATTTATAGCAATACAGGTCTACCTCAAGAAATAAGAAAGATCTCAATCTAACATTATACCTAAAGAACTAGTGGGGAAAAAAAGCCAAAGGTGAATAGAAGGAAGGAATTGAAAGTCAAAGTAGAAATAAATGAAATCGAGCCTAAAAGAAACAATGGAAAAAAATCAATGAAATCAAGAGCTGGTTATTTGAAAAGATAGACAATAAGCCTTTAGCCATATTCATCAAGAAAAAAAAAGGAGGCAAAAGTGAATAAAATCAGAAAGGAAAGAGAAGAGACAACAGTCGCTACAGAAATACAAAGGCATATGAGACTACTATGAAAAACTATGTGCCAACAAAAATGGACAACCTAAAATAAATGGATAAATCCCTAGAAACATACAGTCTTCCAAAATTGAATCAGAAAGAAATAGAAAATACAAACAGACCAACTACTACTAATAAAACTGCATAAATAATCCAAAAACTCCTCAACAAACAAAAGCCCAGGAGCAGACAGATTTACAGATGAATTCTACTAACCATTTAAAAAAGGGTTAATACCTATTCTCAAGTTACTTCATAAAGTAGAATAGGGAGGAAAGCTTCCAAATACATTCTATGAACACAGAATTATTCTGATACCAAAACCAAAGACACTACAGAATAAACAACCCAAAACCTACAGGCCAATATCACTGATGAACATAGACGCAAAACTGCTCAACAAAATATTAGCAAACTGTGATGATTTTTTTAATGTATCATTGAATGCAATCAAGTGGGATTCATTTCAGGGATGCAAGGATGGTTCAATATTTGCAAATCAACATGATACCTCACATCAGCAAGAGAAAGGATAAAAATCATAGGACCATTTCAATAGATGCAGAAAAAGCATTTGACAAAATTCAACATCTGTTCTTGATAAAACTCTCAACCAAGTAGATTTAGAGGGAACATGCCTGAACACAATAAATATCATGAAAAACCCACAACTATCATCATACTTGGTGAAAAACAAAGTTTTTCCTTTAAGATCAAGAACAGACAAGGATGTCCACTCTCAATACTTTTATTCAACATAGTAGTGGAAGTCCTAATCACTGCAATCAGACAAGAAAGAAGAGGTAACCAAATTGATAAGGAAGAAGAAGTTAAACTGTCACTACTTGTAGATGACATGACACTATACAGAGAAACCCTAAAGACTACAATAAAATTCTGTTAGAGTAAATGAATTCAGTAAAGGCTCAGGATACAAAATACACAGAAGTTGGTTGCTTTTCCATACACTAACAATGAAGCAGAAAGAGAAATTAAGAAAATAATTCCATTTATAATTGTACCAAAAAGAATAAAATACCGAAGAATAAACTTAAAAAACTCTGAAAATTAGAAAACACTGATGAAAGAAATTGAAAATAAAATCAATGGGAAGATATTCCACACTCAAGGATTAGAAGAATTAAAATTATTAAAATTTCCATACTACCCAAAGCAATATACAGATTGCCCCTATCAAAATACCATCAGCATTTTTCACAGAACTAGAATGAATAACCCTAAAATTTGAATGGAACCACAAAAGACCCCAAATAGCCAAAACAATCTTGAGAAGAACATAGATGGAAATATCAGATCCCCAGATTTCAAAATATACTCAAAAACTGTAGTAATCAATGGTACTGGCACATAGTTTATA